AAATTCATTCAGCAAATGTATATTGGATATCTAGAATGTGCCAGATATTACACTAGGTGCTGGGGGTACAATGATGAGCAAAACAGAAATATGTCTAACCAGTAACCAGTTGCCTTCAAGTCAATTCTGGCTCATGACATCTCCTATGTGTGTCAAAGTAGAACTATGCTCCGTACAGTTTTCAATGCCTAATTTTTCAGAAGCAGATCACCAGGCCTTTCTTTTGAAGTGCCTCTGGGTAAACTCGAACCTCCAATCTTTCAGCTAGCAGCCAAGCATGTTAACTGTTTGCACCACCCAGAACTCCAGAAATTTGTATTAAGGAGCATGTATTTGAGCAATCCTGGTCATTACATTTAGGTAAATAAAACACACACACAAAAAAGAGTTGCAGCGTATAATAACTGCCAGAGATGAAATATACAGGGAAATATGATAGAAAGTGACTTGATGGGGAGGAAAGGAGGACTACTTTAGATAGGTGGTCAGTACTTAGGCCTCTCTGAGACAAGCGGAATTTGAGCTGATGTTGTGGTTAATGTTACATGTCAACTTGGCTAGGCTATGATTCTCAGTGGTTTGGCATGTGCTCTTCCATAATGTAATTATTTTCCATTTTGTGATCTGATTTGAGGAGCCAATCAGTCAAAAGGGGAGTATCCTTGAGGGTGTGGCCCGACTCCAGTATATAAATGGATGTTCTGGCAAAGCTCACTCTCTCTTGACCCTGCAGTTTGCAGAAGTCTCTGGCCTGCTGCCTGACCTGCAAATTCTGAATTTGCCAACCCTTACAACCCCGTGAACCAGCAGAGGCCTCCAGCCTGCTGCCTGATCTGAAGATTTTGGGTTTGTCATCCCCCACAATTGTGTAAACCATTTCCTCATAATTGTGTGAGCCATTTCCTTGAATTAAATTTCTCTCTCTGTATATTTATATACACTTTACTGGTTTTACTCCTCTAAAGAACCCAGAATAAGACAGCTGAGATCTGAAGGATGAGGAGCCAGTCAGGAGAATAGCATTCCAGACAGAAGGAAAAAAAGTTGTAAAGACCCTAAAGCAAAAAAGAGTTTAGTACTTTGGCCTGTTCAAAGAAAAAAAGAAGCTGTAGTACTTGGTGCATTACTGAGTTGGTATGGTGTAAGAGTGAAGGTTGAAGAACAAGGCCTGGACCAGGTAACACAGGAATATCCAGGCCATGTTGAGGAGAGAGGATTTTATTCTCGGTGCAATGGAAAGTTATATCCTCACTTCACCACCAGAAACTCAATACCCCTTAAGCAATACCTTCCCATTTCCCCCTTCTACCCCACGCCACCCCCCAGCCCCGTAACCACTTTGGTCTCTATGCATTTGCCTATTCTAAATATTTCACATAAGTAGGATCAAAATATTTGTACTTTTGTGCTTGTACAAATTTCTGACCACACCAGTGGACTGAGTTAGGATTTCTAGGACTCAACATTTTTTAAGTTTGGAAGCACACAGCTTTATGAAAGCAGTTTGCTGACCCCAAATCCAGCAGAATAATTACATGAATGGATGAGGAACATTTAATCATGGTTATTTGTTTGGTGTATTGTTGATGTAGCTGTAATGTTCTATTTTTATGGATATATCAGAAAGTCCTTTTTAATTCTTCTTAAGGTGTCTCTAATCCTCAGTGTAATGGATTCTTGATTTCATAAACTAAAATTTTTTTAAATTGTGCTTTAGGTGAAAGTCTACAGCTCAAGTTAATTTCTCATACAAAAATTTATACACATATTGTTTTGTGACATTAGTTGCAATCCCCACAATGTGACAGCATACTCCCCCTTTCCATCTCAGGTTCCCTGTGTCCATTCAACCAGTTCCTATCCTTTCCTGCTTTCTCATCCTCGTTTTTGACAGGAGCTGCCCATTTGGTCTCATGTATCTGATTGAACCAAGAAGCACTCTCCTCATGTGTATTATTTTTAGTTTTATAGTCCTGTCTAATCTTTGTCTGAAGAGTGGGCCTCGGGAATGGTTTCAGTTCTGGGTTAACAGTGCGTCCATGGGCCATAGTTTCAGGGGTTCCTCCAGTCTTTGTCAAACCATTAAGTCTGGTCTTTTTACATGAATTTGAGTTCTGTTCTACATTTTTCTCCTGCTCTGTCTGGGACTCTGTTGTGTTCCCTGTCAGGTCAGTCTTTGGTGGTAGCCGGGCACCATCTAGTTCTTCTCGTCTCAGGCTAGTAGAGTCTGATTCATGTGGTCCTTTAGTCCTTTGCGCTAATGTTTTCCTTGTGTCTTTGGTTTTCTTCATTTTCCTTTGCTTCAAGTAGGATGGGACAAGTTGGGGTATCCCAGATGGCCACTTGCAAGCTTTTAAGACCCCAGATGCTTCTCACCAAAGCAGGATGTAGAGTATTAATAAAACTTTGTTATGCCAATTGACCTAAATGTCCCCTAAATCCATGATCCCCAGGCCCCAGCCCCAGCTAATCTGTCCCTCAAAGTGCATAAACTAAGCATTTTAAATGGTATCCAATCCTCACTGAGCTTCCAGAATTCAGAAGCATTTACTAAATCTCTTTATATTTCATGGAAATATTCAATAGGTATCTGTAGTCTTTTTAAACCTGGATATAAATGAACAAATTGTGTAACTAAGACCATACATGGAGTGTCATATTTGAGAATATTTCTCATTTAATCATGTATGACAAGCCTTCTATTAAAAAACAAGTTGACTTTATATGTGGAGTAAATGCCTACAAAGCTGTCCCAGTAAACTTAATGGTATCTGGCTTACTGTTACAAATGGTAAGGAAGATCATTTCTTCACTGGCCAGGAATCTTGGCAAGTTTTGAGGATGCTGAGGAGAGAGATTCACCTAAATTCTTAGGTACTGCAGGAGAAATCTGGTGGAGAGTTTCTTGGGCTTGGATCCTTAGCCTTGGGAGAGCAAATAATAAAGGCTTTTAAAAGTCCAATTTGAGGTCCCTTATGAGAACTTTCAGACAGAAAATCAATCCTGTGGCCTTAGTAATTGTTCATTACTGCCTGGCTGCAGATTTGCAAGGAAAATTCAAGCAGGCCTACATGATTAATTAACACCCTTGCTGCACCTAGGTAAATAATCAGGCCAAACCTAATGAAACCAGCCTCCAAGAATAATCTTTGGAGATTACTTATATCACAAGGAAGAGACTGTCAAGAAACATTGGCAAAGATTTGGAAATGGACAAAAGAGATTACCAGGTATTATCTGAGGGGTGTGTACCTTTGATTATCTATTGACTAGGCTGTTTTACAACATTGTACAGGTAGAAGCTAAAGTGTAGAAAATGTTAAGCAATGCAAAAGAATTTGTGAACTACAACTGATTTCTGCTCTGTAGAAAAGATGATCCCATTAGATTTTATTGCCTTACAGAATATTAACAAGTTTTACATCTATTAGCAAATCCTTTTGAGCATATCTCACTCTATATGTGTAGGTGTATTTATATATATGTACATAGAAATTTAGATAGATAGCTGTCGTTGAATCAACTCCGACTCATTATGTTTGATTTCTTTTTAAACGTATGAAAGATTTTAGTTAACGCATTAATGAATGGGGGACCTAATAAGATGTTAAAACTGCTACAAACTAGAATTTGAAGAACATTATGTACAACAGAATGAAACGCTGCCTAGTCCTCTGTCATCCTCATAACTGCCAGCAAGTTCAACTCCATCATTTTGGCTATTTGCTGATCCATCTCAGAGGTTTTCCCACACTTGTTGGCCCTCTACTTCACCAAACATGGTATCGTCTTACAGTGATGATCCCTCCTAATGATATATATATGTGTGTGTGTGTGTGTGCACACGCATGTATATCTGTTCTTCAAATTCTATTTTGTAGCAGTTTTAACATCTTATGTATAGAATATATATACGTATTCTATTTAATGTGTAATTTCGATGTAATACCCAATTTAAATAGGAAATCTCCAAATCTCCTTACCAATCTCTAGTTGTGCCATTAAAATACAACTTCATTATTGAGTATGAAAAAAAAAGTCATTTGTTTTTGTGAAAGATTAGATTTTTATTTTAGTGATTTAATAAAACAGATTATAGCAGTATTTGATGTTTAGAATTACAAGGAAATATTAAATTAAAAAAAATTGGTTCTTATTTTATATTTGCATTTTCTGAGGTAATAGTCTCCAATAATATAATGAAAAATGGGCAGGTAATTTATGCAGTTCAAAATAAAACATGTCTTTGATTTTTCAACACAGTAAATTCCACAAGTGCACGCAATTAATATGAAGTAATAAAACTTCCTAGAAAGAATATGAACAGATACACTAATATTCAACAATTTTATTTTAGTTCCTTTTCATAATATATGCACATGAAATGAGATTGTGTACAATAGATCAAAGGCAATCTAGCGATGATTAGAGTCATATGAAAATAATTTAAGGCAAGCTTTGTGAAAAGTGGGCTCACAATTAAACAAGATTTTTAGGTAACTCCTGGTAGTTGTATAATGGGAAACTATGAATATCACATTTTTGACTGTTCGTGTGCAAAACTGAAAGCAGATGCTTTTCAAATTGCAGTAAAGCAAACTCCTCTAATACAATCTCATTAAATTTATAAAGTCACTGGCAAGTTATTTGGTGGCATCCAAAAACAATATTTTCCCAGTGTAAATTTTCGAACATTCTACTTTATAAGATCACTTTTCTGTCATTTGAAAAATACTGAAATTTCAAGAAACTTTTGCTACTTCAATTTTGAAAGGTCAAAATAATAAAACAATGTATTTTTTCTAGGTTTATGTAATTCAAGTACAGTGGTACTAAGGAGAAAGGATATTTTAATGAAACCAAATCTATTTGAGAAAAGTAAGTCTTAAGTGAAACAAAACTACTATTAGAAACAGTTGAATTGGTTTGGCAATAGAATACTTATTTTTAAATTTTCACTAGCAAAAGTCTTAAAGCCCTTTCTCTTTAGGAGCTTAAATAGTGGTTGATGCTCTAGTACTCAAAAATGAACCATGCTTCTATAGAGATTTCCTTAATTGTTATATTTCCCAATGTGTTCACGGGCTATAATAAGCCTTTGAATTTGTGAAGTACCTTCATAAATCTGGAAGAAAAAACATATAAATGTAGGTTAAATATCTTCAGTACATTAAACAACTTACTTAGATTTACTCACTATCTTGGACAATACTATAAGCCCATTGTAATACCAAACTAAATCAAACCACATATAGGGTCTGTGGTCTGTAGTGATTCCAGTATCTAATGTTGTGAAACCCATGAAAATATATAATTCTCTAAAGATTAGTTTGAAATATTATAAAAAATCATTTACTAAAATTCTGAAGAAGGGCCTTAAAAAACATAGAAGGGTATTAACAATTCAAAAAGTTTGGGAAAACTAAACTTTAATGTTACCAAAATATTCATCAACTTTTCTGAACTGTATTTAGCTAGTTGTCACCTCCAGCCATTCTCTATTCTTACTCTTGGGTGTGATTTTTTTATCCTTGTCACCTAAGGAACAGAATTGCTGAATATGCGAGAAACACGTTTTCGATTCCTTAGATATGCCTAGTAGCTTGGCCATTGTAAGTTCATCTTCTCAGATGGCAGAAAAGAATTAAATAGTTAATAATAATAGTCATATCATAGTACTTAATAATTATAGGCTTCAGAAGGAGACTATCAGCAGATAAACCTGTGACTCTGAATAAGACACAAATTCTGGTCCTCGGTTTTCTCATGTCTAAATTGAGGAGGTTGCACTATGTCTAAATTTGTCAAATAACTGCCTGGATATGTGTGTAGTGCAAGGTGGGGAAGCAAGGAAAGACATCGAGAAGCATGTGTTATAATTACCATAAGTCACCTGTGGAGAACACATACATTTATCTTACTTACTAAATTGGTCCTTTCTCTAAGTTCCTATAAACCACGAATATTAATTTAGAAGACAAGGTCATCTATATCAGTGTCTCTTCATGTTGGTTTTTTGATTCCCAGTATGGTTTCAATCAATTCAAGGATTTTAAGATTCAAAACAAAATAATTTAATTAATTTAAAAAGTCAAGCATACTTTTAGGAGAGCAAAGGGTGTGTTACAATGAACCAGAATGTTAAAACTAAAAAAAAAAGGCTCTTCCAGACATACTTTACATGTCAGTACTATTTAGTTTGTCAGTCTATTCTCCCTTAAGGTATATACCTAAAAAGTAATATAATTCTTTATGCTTATTAGTTTCGAAAACTTTGTCTCACAGCCATCTATAATGAAATTCATTTGTTATTACTACTGTTATAAAATCTCTAATAATCAGAAATTTACCCCATCATTTATGAATATTTTGTCCCCTAAAAAATAATTAAAAACACTTGGAATCTTACCTGATAGATCTTGGCATCCCTCATTAGTTTTTCTACAGGATACTCAGTATTAAATCCATTGCCTCCGAAAATCTGCACAGCATCAGTAGCCAACTGATTTGCAGTATCTGCAGCAAATGCCTTTGCAATAGAGGCATAATAGGTATTTCGACGACCACGATCAACCTCCCAAGCTGCTCTCTGGTAACTCAATCTAGCTACTTCAACTTTCATTGCCATTTCAGCCAGCAAAAAAGATATCGCTTGGTGCTAGAATTAAAAAGAAAAAAAAAAATGTTTAAGGAAGGAGTCCCGGTGGCACAAGGGTGAAGCACTTGGCTGCTAACCAAACAGCTGGAGGTATGAACTCACCCAGTAGCTCTGCGGGAGAAAGACCTGGAGATCTGCTTCTGTAAAGATTACAGCCAAGACAATGCTATGGGACAGCTCTACTCTGTCACCTGGAGTCACTACGAGGGCACCCAACAACACTGACATTTGTCAGTTACTACAGTTTTTCACAAATAATGCACCCACACATATAATGCATGGCATAGATCACTTACGAAAATAGTGAGGAGGGGTTGCGTGACTGGCAAAAAAAATGTATAATGTGCACCTTATTTGTGTACAAATTCAGTAAGGGCTCAGCTACTAACTGAAAGACTGGTGGTTAGAATCCACCCAGAGGCACCTTGGAAGAAAGGTCTGTTGATCTACTTCCAAAACATCACAGCCACTGAAAACCCGATAAAGTGTAGTTCTACTCTGACACACGTGGGGTTGCCATGAGTTGGAATTAACTCGACAGCAACTAACAACAACGATATAGCTTTGGAAAACTATATCCATGGAAAAAGAGTACACAGAGCAAAATGTTCACTGTAATTATCTCTAGGCAATAGGATTGTGGATGATATTTATTACTTATTTTTACTTACGTTGCATCATATAAATTATCCTCCAATAGACATGGGACAATGGGACTTTCACATTAAAAGAAATCTTGTAGGCATTCAGAAGCAAGAATACTAAGATGATTAGAAATGGCTTCATGTATTAGATGATATCAAAATGGGTTTTCAAGACTAAGAAGCTATAAAAACCACAAAGTCTATGACTAGTGTACAGATTAATATGAACAAAGTTCACAAAAAATAAAAAAATTGAGCTGTTCAATTTCATATATTTACTATATTTAATAATTGGGTAACATAAACTTGGTCACATTGATTTGGAATGTAAAAAGTTGTTTGAGTTTGATATGGTAATTAGGTCTTAGAGGCGTCATAATTAACCAATGTGAACAACTGCTATGTAGAACAAGGAGAGTAATATCCTCTTTTATTTCCATTTACCTGAACTATGCCCATTCTCCTAAGCTGATGATTCTTTCAAGGATCTTTTTTCCATTTTATTTATTTTTTGAATAAGTAATACATCTACCAGTTCAAAGTTTAAGAGGTATGAATGAATACACAGTGAAAAGCTTTCCTCCTACTTCTGTCTATCACCCTTGCATTCCATCACTCTCCCCGACTCCATCTAATTTTCGTTCCAGGAAATAACCACTGTTATCTGTTTCTTTTTTATCTTCCGAGGGATATTTTCTATACTAAAACCCATTACCATAGAGTCAGTTTTGGCTCACAGCAACCCTATAGGACAGAGCAGAACTGCCCTATAGAGTTTCCAAGACTATAATCTTTATAGAAGCAGACTGCCACATCTTTCTCCCATGGAGTGACTGGTGGGTTCGAATGGCTGACCCTTTGGTTAGCAGCCGAGTGCTTTAACCACTGTGACACCAAGGCCCCTTTGATATTTTATATACATACAAGCAAGTATATATATATTGTCTCCCTCTTTTTTACACATATGCTACCTTATCATCTAACTGGTTCTTCATTTCACTTTTCTTGTCAATAAATCTTCAAGAGCTCTCTATAGCAATACATAAAGAACTCTTATGATTTTTATAGTTGCAGAGTATTCCACTGTGTGGATAAACAACATTTTGGTGTTTTCTACACAATGTTGAAAAGAATAACCTATGTTATTGTTGTGTGCCATCAAGTTGATTCCAACTCATAGCAACCCTATAGGACAGAGTGGAACTGCCCTGTAGGGTTTCCTAAGCTATAATCTTTACAGGAGCAGATTGCCAGGTCTTTTCTCCCATGGAATGGCTGGTGGGTTGGAACTGCCAACCTTTTGGTACTTAACTACTGCGTCACCAGGGCTCTTTGAATAACCTATGCATATATTATATTGCACATATGGGGGTATCTCTGAAGGATAAATATCATTTGGAATATATCTGTATGATAACCATTGCTAGGTAGTCCAAAGGTATATACTTTTGATAAATATTGCCAAAATGTGAATCATAAAGACTGCACCAATTTATACTCTCATGGCAATATACAGAAGTGCTTATTTCCCCACAGCCTTGGCAAACTGGTATATGAGGTTTTTTTTTGTTTTTTTTTAAGATTTGTACGCTCCTCTTCAAGAGATGTGGAGTCAGAAAATCTGGGGTGGCTCCCAGGTGTATATGTTTCCTTAAACCAACAATTCCAATGAGTCTCATTCAGCTGGTCTTCAACCCATGCTTTGAGAAATTCTGTTCTAAACCCAGCACACACTCCCTGTAATGCATCAGCCTAAAATAACCTCTCTCCTTTTGGTTTCTATAACCCTGTTTGTAGCTCTCATTTTGGGACTTAACCTTATATTACTCTATATTATTTTTTAATATTTGTTTTATGATATGTATCTTGTCTTCAAAGTAAGGTTAAAGGTTCCTGAGGTCAATGAATATGTCAAACTTCTTTTCTATCCTTGGAAATAGCATATGTAGAGTGTAAAAGAAGTAAGTTTTTTAAATAAGTGACTACATGAGTTGAAATCTTGGTTCCATCATTTATTAGCTGGGTCTAATGTTTTTACAGAGCCTGGTGGCACAGTGGTTAACAGCTTGGCTGCTAACCAAAAGGTCAGCAGTTCAAACCCACCAGCTGCTCCCTGGAAACCCTACAGGGCAGTTCTACTCCGTCCTATAGGGTCGCTATGAGTCAGAACTAACTCAATGGTACCTAACAACAACAACAATAACATTTTACATGTGATAAATAGGAATAACAGTGCCTACTCTACATTATTTTGAGAATTAAATGAGTTAATACAAGCAAAGCACTTAAGAATAGAGCCTGGAACAGAGAAAGCATCCTATTATTAGTATTTTAATACAGTAAGGGTTACATTACTATTTGCTGAATAAATGAAATAGATTCAGAGTGTAAGACATTTTCTAAGTGCTAGGAGTATACAAAGTTTTCCAAAGCAGAAACTCCCTGCTTGTGTGGAGCTTACACTCAAGAGAAGAGTGAGGAGAGACAATAACCAATGCATATATAGTACAATGTCAGGTAGTGAGAAGAGCTATGAAAAAAAAAGTAGGATTAGAGTATTGGAGATGTTATTTTAGATAGGGTAAATCAAGAATGGATTCTTTGGTGAAGTAAGTGAGTAAAGCGAAATTCGAATGAAGTAACAGAGCTATCCTTAAGCATATTTGGGAGAAGAACAAAGACCAAAAAGGCCAGTATGGCTGATAGAAGGCCATTATAGGGACTTTGGATTTTAATCTGAGTGTGATGAGAAGATATTCAAAGCATTTTGAGCAAGATAACTTAAACTGACTTATGTTTTGAAAGATATAGAATAGGCTGTAAGGGGCTAGAGTAGAAGCAGGGAAACCATTAGGAGAATATTTATAATTGTTTAGCTGAGAAGTACTGGTGGCTTGGACTAGGATGTTAGCAGTGTAGGTAGAGAGAATGGTTTTAACTCTAGCTGTATCCTACATATTTTAACAGGATTTGCTATAGATTGGGTGTACATGGGCTGTGAAGAAAATAAAATGGCTAAGGAAAATGGAAGTAACAGGAAGTAAGAGTTTATGTTAAGTGGATATTTTGAGGAGGCATTCGAAAATCCAAGCGTGAAGCTCGGGGAAGATGTCAGGGCTGGAGATATACCTTGATAGTCATCAACATATGTTTTGTATTTAAAGCCACAGAACCATATGAAGTCACCTAGGGAATGATCTTTTACAGTTCCTACTTTACAAATTAAGAAATCAAGGCTCAGAGAAGCTAATTAAATTGCTGAAGGTCTCATAGCTAGGAATTTGTGGAAGCAGGATTCAAGCCTAGTACTGGCTTCCAGCCCATGATCTTTTCACTAAGTCACAGTTTACCAAAGAGAAGATAACTTACTGGTAGTTTCATTTCTCATAATGGTGGAGTGACTGGTCTGACTCATTCTAACTGGTCTGATATTTACTACTACTCATAGAGAATACAAAATAGTTAGAAAAACACAGAAAAGAAGATATAAATATATTTCTTGCTGAGCATATCTTATTTGAGTCTCAGGTCTCAAATAGCATTTGTCCCCTCATTCATTTTCCTATTAAGAAATGGAAATCATGGGAAGTTATGCTGAATTAGCAATAATAATCAATACAAATTGGAGTTATTAACACTCTTTCACAGCTTCCTAGATCACTCCAGCTTCTCCTAAACAGAAGGTTTTGATTAGACAAAGGAGTAGGTAATTATTGCCACTAAGGGATTTTACCATCCAGTAGTCTGTTTTCAACGTTCCTAGCTTTACTCATTGGTAAGAAAAAAAAAACAATCTTCTGTTTTCGGCAGCTTTCTTTAGCCACATTAAGTAAGGATAAGTAGCAGCCATGGCATTCACTTAAAAGAAAGTAGTAATAATAACAATAACAAACATGGTAGTAAACAATAGAACTGTGATTAGAGTACCACTCTATACTATCCCTTAAAAAGACAATCTCTCTATTCTTTCTTTTTGGAGCTAACAGACCAAAGCTATATCATCCCCTTAGTATTTCCTTTATTTATCCCAGGAAAGAAAAGACTACTGATGAGGGACCCTAGAACTATATAAACATGCTCACTACAGTACTAAGAACCGATAATTGTCGTAAATTATTTTAGACCTATGAAAAATTATTTGGCTGGATGCTTTAAGAGGTAAGTTCATAAAATAATGCATCCAGGTGTATCACTAAAGCAAAAAGCAGTGATGTCATATGCCTCCAACATAAAAACATAACCAATATATTTGGAAAGTAAGAATAAGAGATGCAGAAATAGTAGAAACAGAATGAGAAATAACTGAGAACTGTGCAAAGGCTGGTTATTTTGGAAATCGGGGGGTGGGGGGGAAAC